CCTTGCCCCTGTACATTTGCATTCAGCATATTGTAACTTATTGCAATTCACATAGGCCTAGTTAAGTAGATTTACTGATATCACCCAGATTTTGGGTAGATAAAAAGTAGGGAGAAGCAAACTTTTTATTTAAATATAATACAAATAGAAAAGTCTACAACACATAAGTGTAAGGCTTGGTGAGTTTTAACTACACACACACACACACACACACACACTCACAACCACCCTCCAGATGAGGATACAGAACATTTCAGCACCCCATAAGCCTCATCCAACAACTTTACATACATGGACTTGTATGGTGTGGCTTCTTTTGCGCCTGGCTTCTTACATTCCACATCATGTTTGTGAGTTTTATCCATGTTGTTGTATGGAGCTGTAGTTTGTTGCTATATGATATTCTACTGTGTAAAGACATCAAAATTCATTTGTCTATTCTACAGATCATGGACATTTGGACTGTTTCTAGTTTTTTACTATCAAAAATAGTATATTTCTGTACACATATGTATACTTTTCTAATTCCATACTTAGGGGTAGAATTATTGAGTCATAGAGTATTCATATATTTAGCTTTAATAGATACTGTCAAATGGTTTTCCAAAGTGATTATACCAATTTATATTCCTACCTGCAGTTTACAAGAAACTACTGTCAATATCTGGCATTTTCTGTCTTTTTCATTTTACCCACTCTGGCAGGTATGCAGTAGTACTGCACTGTTTAATTTGCTTTTCCTCAGTAACTAATTAAATTGAGCACCTTTTCATATACTCCTTTACTTCTTGGACATATATGGATATTCTCTTTTGCGGTATGCTTATTTAAGTCTTTTGCCATTTTTCTATTAGGTTGTCTGTCATTTTCTTACTGATTTGTAAGGGTTCTTTATATACTGCTGGATACAAGTCCTTTGTTATATATATGTACAGTACTGAAAATATCTTCTCCCAATCATTTTTTTTTTATTGGTTTGTTTATTGGTTTCTTTTGAGTTTTGGTTTTTTTTTCTTGGAGACAGGATCTCACTCTGTCACCTAAGCTGGAGTGCAGTGGTACTATCAATCATAGCTCACTGTAGCCCAAAACTCCTAGGCTCAAACAATCCTCCTGCCTCAGCCTCCCAAGTAGCTGGGACTACAGGCATGTGCCTCTGTACCCAGCTAATTTTTAAATTTTTTGAAGAAACCAGGTCTTGCTTTATTGCCCAGGCTAATCTTGAACTCTTGGCCTCAAGTGATCCTCCAGCCTCAGGCTCCCAGAGTGATGGGATTACAGGCATGAGCCACTGTGCCCGGCCCCTTATTGGTTTCTTTTTATCAAAGAAGTTCTTAATTATAATGAAATCCAATTTATTATTTTTTAATGATTTGTGTCACATTTAAATATTTTTGCCTGCCTCAAGGTTATGATGATTTATTTTATGTTAACTTCTGGTAATTTTATTGTTTTGCCTGTCACATTTGGGTCCACAATTCATCTGGAATTAATTTTTGTATATGGTATGAGACACAGACTAGAGTTCATTTTTTCCTGTATATTACCCAATTTTAACTTATAGCACACAAGTAGCTTAAAAATATTCCTTCTAAGAAACTGTAGACTCACAATAACAACAAAAACACAAGTGAACAAAAAGAAAAAGCAGAATTCTCATTTTTCCTCCTCATAGGTATAAAGTCTTCCTTCACCACATTATGAAATAAAAATAAATAAATTGGCCAGAAAAGTTGAAGGGGGTCTTGTTTTCAAGACTATTTAAAACAAGGTTTTATATCAACTATCATTAAAAGATAACTCACAGTAAGAATCATTACAATCAGCCAGATGTGCATCCAATAAGAAAATGAAAACTACTGTGCTGTTTTCATCAAGGTAGAAATTAATTTAACTAAATTTATGATAAAAGATTAGAAGCCTCTTTGGAAGTTTCATAAAATACAATACAGAAATATATGTATATATGATTTATAAATAAATAAATAAAAATAAAGATTTTGGGGTATGTGGTCATGACAGTTTTACTGGTAGGTATGTATTTGTAATTAAAAACAATTGTATACAGCACTTCTGGCCTGTAAAAATAAATAAATAAATAAATAAAAACAACTGTAAACCAACAACCTAGGGGATAGCACTTAGGCCTGGGGACAGTACTTTAGGACTTGGACAAACCAGAATGCACCCACCCAATTTAGTAGTGGAGGGGACAAGGGTATGGACTGAGCTGTTGATGGGGGTTGAAACTATGCCACTGTCCAAAACAGTTGGATGTTGGAAGGCCCTGGCATTGTTTCTGCTGGAAAAAAAAGAGTGGAAGAGGAGAAAGCATTAATCTTATGTCTATAGAGGACAGAATAAGAATAAAATATGAGGAATATCCAGGAGGAAAGACCTTAACAAAGAAAAGGGCACAAAACATAACTAACAAAAACTAACTAATATCACTTCCTGTGTATCCGCTATGAGTGAGGCCCAATTCTGGGTACTTCATATATTTCTTTCATTCCCTGCAGTAACCCTCAGAGGCAGGTATTTTCCTATCCATATTAGAGATGAGAAAACTAGGGCTTATGGAAGCTAACCAATTTTCCAAAGGTGCACAGCCATAGTCAGTTGGCTAAAGATATATATATATCTACACACACACATATATAATTATCCTTATATTAATTACACATGAGAGAGAAAAATAATGTGTGCAGCACATCATAAAAAGATGCATTTTCATCTATCATATTGACGAAAATTGAAAATTAAAAAGATGAACACTGCCCATTGCTGGTGAGAGTGTGAAGAAAAACACTTTCATTTACTATTGATGGAAACGTAAGATGCTATAATTCTTTTGAGGGCAATTGGGGAAAACCTGGCAAAATTTTAAATGTGTATACTTTTAGGACAGCAAATCTACTTCTAAAATTTTACCCTTCAGAAAGACTTGGACATACACATATGTTCTCTATTGTTGATAACAGTGAAAAAAAAGAAACAAACCAAAATGTCTACCAATTATTGGTGTAGCCAAATAAATTGTGACACATTCTTATAATAAAATAGTAAACAGCAATTAAGGACAGTGAGATAGCTGTGTATGAACTGACCTGAAAGACCTCCAACACACTTTAACACTAAGAAAGCAAGTTGAAGAACAATGTATATAATGTAATCTTGTATGAGAAGACAAAATAAAAATAAAAGCAAGAATACATGTGTGTATAAAAAACAAACAAAAAAAAACCCCCAAAAGATCTGCAAGGATACACCAAACTGCTCCTAGTAGTTAAATCTGGGAAGAGGAGTAGGATGATTGACTTGAATGAAATTGCCATTTTACAGGATAAGAATGCTCAATAGTAGCAATTTCATGTGGTACAATATAATATAAAATTATATTAAAGGAATATACTCTGGATTTAAGGAGTTATTACACTGAGAATATATCCATGTATTACTTATGAATAAAAAACAGTTAAGCAGACCCTGGTACACCAACCATCTAGAGGCATTTGAAGAAGGAAAAATAAGCCAAGTTGTTCTTGCCAAGTCCCCCCCTGCGCTAAAAGCTCTATGCCTGAGCACATCACCTGAACCCAACAGATCAGGTTCCAGGCCTGCTCTGCCCCTTAGTTGCTTGCTAAACCATGGCCAAGTTGTTTACTTCTCCAGGTTTTAACTGGGGGCACCTCACTAATTCTCACAACTCTTAAGCCAAGAACTGTCATCCACATGTTACAGATGAGGAAAGGTCTGGTTTAGATTCCTTTTAAATCAGATAATCTAATAATCCGCAAACAACTCTGGCTGAGATCCTGGGGTGTTGTGGGGCATCAGTGTGGGCCTGAGGTACAAGCTGTCCCCTTGGCCCAAGGCAGCCTTCTTTCTAGTGAAACTCCTGGGAGAGAGGGCCCAGCACAAAGGAAGGGAAGGGAGAGTGCCTGGTTCCCAGTCATCACTCTGCAGCTCACCCCCAGTGGGCCTCAGCATTTCTCCCCCCACCCCCAGACTCAGCCTTTTTATTTGAAATCAGGAATAATTATGGCACCCAGCTCACCAGACAGCATAGTGCTTTAGTGTTTATAAGAAGCAGTGGCACTGGATGCTCACGACGACCCTGGGAAGCAGATCAAGTGAGGGTGTTCCCATCTACAGATAATGATACTAATCACTAATCATGTGCAAAGCTTTCTCGTTTGCAACAGGACATAAAATACCTTCTCTTGTTTTAATTCTAACAAGAAGGTAAGGGAGGAGTCTTTGGCTTTCATCGGATTCTCAAGGGGATACGTGTCCCCCAAAGAGTTAAGAGCCAGCCAAGTACACGTCTCTCAGGTACAGGGCCACCAGGGCGGTCGGACTCAGGTAACGGCTGTGAGCAAACGTTCACACTCACGATCTCATTTAATCGCCGTCACTGTCGATGTTACGGAGGGAATTACTGCCCCAATTCACCATCGCAGAAACACACTTAGAGGAGGGCGGCGACGCGCCAGGGGTGAACCCGGCCCCCAGCTCGCGTCGCAGCACCCTCCTGCCTACCGCGTCACTCCTGGGAGGCCCGGCGTCCCCTCCTCGGGCCCTCAGGCGAGCTCAGGCCTCGCTGCCCCGCGACGCCAGATCGAAGACTTACCTGACGCGTCCCAGAAGCTGGGGTCCAAGCGCACTTGAGACCCCCACTAAGGACCCCACCAGGGTCCCAGTCACCCCCCGCGACCGCGGCTCGCCATCCCCGGCACCCGCCCGCCGCGCGCACGCGCAGCCCCGCCCCGGCCTCTGCCACCGAGGACACAGGGGGAGCCCGGCACGGCGGGGCAACACGAGCCTGCGTGAAGGACCGTTAACTCTGGAGAACTCCCCTCGGCATATTAAATATCGCCTACAATGGAAATGTCTTCTGGGGACCCACGTTATAGCTCGGACGAGGAACTACACCCTCCAAACGGACACATTGGTCTGGTCCTCAGGCCCACAGCAGCGGCGGTCACCGTGGTAACGGCGTCCCTGAGACAGCTCGGTGGCAACGACGGCTCCTTTGTTATGGGAAAGGGGAAAGTGGTGACCGCGCCCAGCGTTGCCTGGAGAACTCCTGGACTCACAGTGGCAAAATGGGCCTCTCCCCGACTCCCCTCCTCCTCCTCCCGACCGCAAAGCAAAGGGCACCCTTCCTGGTGGATGTGTGGGCAACGGGTGTCGGGTCCCTGTCCAGAACTTTGCGGGGTCCCCTGAGGGACCCGTGGTGGAACTGGCCCCGGGTTCGTCAAATTCCGCTGATGCTTTCAGGTAAGACAGACAGACGGACAATGACCATCTCCAGCAGCGCGGGGCTCAGGGCAGGCCTGCCCCTCGCCACCCCTGACTTGCATCCGGCTGCTGCAAGCGAGGGAAACAGACCCAGGACTGTTTCAAGGTCGCACAGTGAGCAAGAGGCGGAGAACTGGAGAATCAGCTCCAGATCTCCTCAAGTCCTATAAGCGTGTATTATTGGTTCCATTTGATAAATGAAGAAACTCAGGCCATTCGAGGGATAGTTACTGGCTGCCTAATGGGTGTCCCAGATCATCCATCCAATCAGGGACAGGATCCAAGGGACTCCAAAACAAAAACAAAAACAAAAACAAAAAAACCCACAAAAATCTGTGGAACTCCAAAGTCAGCATTATTTTTACATGCGCAAACATGTTAACTTTTAAAAGGGGACATTCAAATCTCTACTGCCCGAACGTGTGCTCCATAAGGGCAGAAAGTTTCTTATTCTTCCACTTATCTGCCCCCAGCACACAGCACAGTACTTGCCACAGGGTATTCAGTGAAGGTAGTTTTCTCCCAGCTCCTTTTTTCTTCCCCAAGTAATGGTGGTAAAAGCTTAGCATGTTTTGGAGAATACTTATCCTAAAATAGTGTGACGAAAAATTCCAAAGGGAACAGAATGTATATTTTAACCATTTTTCTTAGGAATTGTGGTAATCAATTCTCCCATTACTCGTTAGGCATGAGCAGTAATGTTGAACCAAAGCAAGAGGCTTCTTGACACAGTTGCCCTAAGCCTGGCTTCTCAGAGAACGTATTGCCGTTTTCCAGGTATGCTGGAGAGTGGGTGAGAGGAAAGTGAGAAGCCCTAAAATGCACCTGCCACTTCTTTTCTCCCTCTTCTTTGCCTGTATGGCTAACAGCCAGGAGCAGTGGGCAAGAAATAGTTTCGACCTGGGCCTGGGCCAGCCTTTCCTACAATCCAGCTGACTTGGGACAGCCCAAGATAGATAGCTTCTTTGAACTAGAAAGAAATGTGGTGAGTGAGTCTAAAGTGAATCAAATATTGAATGAACTTAATCCCTAAGGAAAAATTTGCCTAATGGAGAAAGATGTAGGAGCAGATCATCCCAGTTCAATGTTATAAATCCTGTAGTAGAGAGATGAAAGCAGAGCCCTGGGCTTTGTACTGATGGTACATGGTACTAATGGGCTAGAATAATTTGAGATTTTCCAAAAGATGTAGCACCCGGGCTTAGTCAAATAGTGGGAACAGAATGTGCAAAGGTATAGAGGCATGAGGAGCATGGCATGGTAGGGGACCAGGAAGAAGTTCAGTGGGTCAGGCATAGAGGATGCATGGCTGGGGAGAAAAGGATAGAGCAAAGGCTTGAATGGCAGAGAGGGAAGGAGAGTATGGTGAAAGGGCACCTGCCAAATTCAACCTTTTCTCTCTTCTTCCATTATGCTTAAGCTTCTTGAGGGCAGGATCTAAGTCTTTTACTTTATTTTATCCAGACCTATAGACTAGGCTCTGGACACCAAGGCTCACAAATGGAGTTATGGGTTACTAGCCAATAAGCAAGGACTCAGGAGAGCAGGCAAGCCAGAGTGTTCTAGAGCCAGAGAGGAAGGGTAGTGTTGGGGCCCATTTTCTGAGAGGGAGCAGAAAGCCTCAGGTAGCTCAGGGGCCTCATGCTGAGGAGATGGACCCAGTATCCCAGAGTCGTAGCATCTGCAAGCTGGAAATGGTCAACTAATTCAAATCTATTACAGTTGTGGCTAAGAGAGGCAAAGACATTTATTTTCATTTCTAGTTTGGGAGCTGACTTGCTGGGTGGTCTGTAGCCCTGGCCTTTTCAGCACTCTAGTATCCTTTTTGTCTGTTTTGACCAGGATCTACACTCTGTTGCGGCTAGCAGAGTGCAGTGGTGTGATCATAGCTTACTGTAGCCTCAAACTCCTGGGCTCAAAGCTCAAGTGATCCTCCTGCTTCAGTCTCCTGAGTAGCTGGGAGTACAGGCACATGCCACTGCACTCAGCTAATTTTTCTATTTTTTGTAGAGACGGGGTTTCTCTCTCTCAGGCTGGTCTTGAACTCCTGACCTCAAGCAATCCTCCTACCTCAGCCTCCCAGAGTGCTAGGATTATAGGCATAAGCCACTGTGCCTGGCCTAATCTCCTTATTTTTGTAATAAAACAAGAACAATTGGCCAGGCGCGGTGGCTCACACCTGTAATCCTCACACTCTGGGAGGCTGAGGCAGGTGGATCACTCAAGGTCAGGAGTTCGAGACCAGCTTGAGCAAGAGTGAGACCCTGTCTCTACTAAAAAGTAGAAAGAATATTAATTGGCCAACTAAAATATATAGAAAAAAAAATATATATAAAATATATAGCCAGGCATGGTGGCGTATGCCTATAGTCCCAGCTACTCGGGAGGCTGAGGCAGAAGGATGGCTTAAGCCCAGGAGTTTGACGTTGCTGTGAGCTAGGCTGATGCCACGGCACTTTAGCCCCAGCAACAGAGTGGGACTCTGTCTCAAAAAAAAAAAAAAAAAAGAAAAGAATAAAAGAACAATTGTCATCATGGAAGAGGGGGAGTGGCAGGTATCAGCAGGTTGAAAGAACAAGTCCACATACCTTGAAATCCTTAGTTAAGTAAGAATGGGATTCTCAGATAAAAGCCTTTATTCCCCACGTAAGCACGGGACGTGTGCCTCACCATCAGTCCTGCTTGAAAAGTGAGTGTGCCTGGCCTTTTCCTTTTGTGTTTTATAAGTTAGTTCTGTGCTATTTGTGACTTCCAGGAGACTGACTGAACAGAGAACAAGATTGGTGTGGAAAATGAGAGGCTTTTAAAAGTGGAAATTTTTTGTTTGTCACCTTACAAGAAGTTGGACAGTGAATTGTTTCAGGAAGATGGAGATCATCAACATCAAGGCCCTACCGGTGACCCCAGTGGATGAATACCTGGGCTTCTCTTTCGCCTGGCATGGAATGCAGAGCACTATGAGGAAGGATTCAGAGCACAGTCCTCCCGGTATCCTTCCAGTGGTGTCGCTGACAGACCAAATATACCTAATTTGAGTCATGCTACAGAGATGTAATCAGTGCTGAAGTCTATAAGACACGTTACTCATTAGCTCGTCCCTTTTACATTCATTAACGTTTTCCCATTACTTAAGCCCAACCTGTCTTCTAAAAGAATTTGAGACCATGAAGGATTGTTTGACTTGAGGTTTTTACTAATGTAATCAGAAAGAGCCCAAAAGGAAGAGGTAATGGAAGTTATTTGTTAAAAGAGAGAGAAGAGAAAAATAGCTCATTTTTTGTTACCTTCTTTCCCTTCTACCTTCCGAAGAATTATAGTTACAGATGTTATTGATTTATAGCAACTAGGAAGTCATGGTTCAGCCCTCTGCCCTCAGACAGATGAGCGTAAGATCCAGCTTTTTCTTTTTATTTTTTACTCCAGTTGACCTTGTCCTTGCCTCTTCCCACCTGCCAGCCCTTCTACCTGGGCTCAGAGTTTGCCCCTCCTGGCATCATCCAGGCTCCACCAGCATCTTACTTCCCTGGCCCTGTCTTCATCCATCCTCATCTCACTTCTGACCCTGAGTTGTATCCCAGGGTCACAGAACCCTCTCTCTGGAGGACCTTAGAGCTTATCCAACAAATAACCCTCTCAGATGATAAATAATCCTAGGCCTTTCCATCTCATCTAGAGCTCATTTACCTTCAAGTCATGCTGCCACCAGCCAATCCACATGTATCTCTCTCTGCTCTCACCTTCCACACCTCTCAGAAGCCTTTCTTAAGATGAGCCCAAGTGTGATCCCACCTGAATCTGCTTCGGGGTCTTACTTTGCTGGGCCTCTTTCTAATGCCCCCTCTTTCTTCTTAATCCCACGCTCATCTCTACCTAACGATCCATTTCACTTTCTATGATTTGTCATGTCCCCTCTTGGCGTCTTCATTTTTCAAGTATCCTTCAGTTTGTAAGAACACTTAGGGTAATGGAAGTAAGAATGAACCTTGCTGTATGTGAAGGGAATGAGAGGTGATAGGATTATGGGGCTTTTACCAAGGATGTATCATCTGTCAGTTTAGACTAAGACAGAAAGAAATGCCAACGTTGAGAGGGCAACAAGAGGGACCATAGAACTGAGCAGATTTCCACAGTGATAAACAAGGTTGAGGTTGAGATACCCTCTGAGCCAATCATCCCTGAAATCGCTCTTAAAGAAATATTCTAAAATATGGGAACAGCTCTCTATGTGACCATGTGCATCACAGCACCATTTATACCTGCAAAAAAGTGTAAGTAATTTAAATATTCAATAGCCAAGAAACAGTTAAATGTATTAAGGTGTATCCTCTAAATGGGATAGTATAATGTTGTTTAAAAACGATTATTATGAAAATTGTTTAGCCATGTAGAAAATGCTCATAATAATGAGTGAAAGAGAAGTCAGAGTAGTAAAACAAGCATACACTGAGATTATAATTATGTAAAAAGTACGTATACAAAAAATACTGGGAAGAAATCTCCCCAAATCCTAGCAGAGTTGTTAAGGTGGTGGCACAAAGAGGTGGGAAAGTTTGCAAAGAAAATAATGAAGTGGAGAGGCAGGGTGGAAAGAGCTGTCATCCTCGCCAGGCACGCCCCACCCCGTTGTGCGCGTGTGCCCACCACCCGGAGAATTCATTCCCCTTAGCAGACTCACCGCCCAGCGTGCGTGATTGGCTCCATGTGCCAGGTGAACCAAAGGATTGCAGAAGCAGACCTGACTGTCAGCACGCTGGCCAACAGCCTGGTAAGTGACGGGTGTGGGACCTGAGGCAGGGCTTTCCAGGAGGAAGGGCTCGGGGATCATCGAGGTATCGCAGTGCCCTGGGGCCCTCCATGTATTTGAAAACATGTGTACACAATTGAGGACTCAAAGTTAATTTTTTTTAAAAAATCAATGAACTTTAGTTTTTTAGAGCAGTTTTAAGTTCACAGCAAAATTGAGTGGACAGTACAGCGTTTTCCCATATACACCCTGCACCCATACATACACAGCTTCCCCGCTATCACCATTCTGCACCACATCGGCACATTTGTCACAGTCAATGAGCTTTGGAACATTTGAATGATTACTGACACATCATGATCACCCAAAGGCCATAGTGTAGATTTTGTTGGAGGTATAGTGGTGAGCACAGCTGCCTTCCAAAGGCCATAGTTTACATTAGGGTTCATTCCTGGTGTTTTACGTCCTGTGAGTTTGTTTCACTGCCAAAACTCTTCTGTGCTCTGCCTAATCATCTCTTTCTACCTCCTAACCCCTAGCAAACACTGATCTTTTTACTGTCTCCATAGTTTTTCCTTTTCCAGAATGTCATATGATTGGAATCGTACAGTATGTGGCCTGTTCAGACTGGCTTCTTTCACTTAGTAATATGCATTTAAGTTTCCTCCATGTCTTTTTATGGCTTGATAGCTCATTTCTTCTTAATTCTGTAGAATAATATTCTATTGTCTGGATGTCCTACAGTTTATTTATGCACTCACCTACTCAAGGGCATCTTGGTTACTTCCAAGTTTTAACAATTAGGAATAAAGCTGCTATAAGCATCTGTGTACAGGTTTTTGTGTGGATGCAAGTTTTCACTTCATTTATGTAAATACCTAGAAGCATGATTGCTAGATTGTAGAAGAGCATGTTTACTTTTGTAGGAAACTGCCAGATTATCTTCCAAAGTGGCTGTACCATTTTGCACATTCCCATCTGCATTGAATGAGAGAGAGTTCCTGTTGCTCCATATCCTCACCAGCATTTACTGTTGTCAGTGTTCAGATTTTGGCCATTCTGGTAGGTGTATAGGGTATCTCATTTCCCTGATGACATATAATGTGGAGTATCTTTTCATATGCTTATTTACCATTTGTGTATCTTTTTTGGTAAGGTGTCTGTTCAAGTCTTTGGCCCTTTTTAAATTGGGTTGTTTTCTTATTGTTAAGTTTCAAGAGTATTGTGTATATTTTGAATAACATAATCCTTTACTGGATATGTCTTTTGGAATTATTTTCTCCCAGTCTGTGTTTTGCCACTTCATTCTCTTGACAGTTTCTTTCACAGAAAAAAGTTTTTAATTTTAATGAAATCCAGCATATCAATTCCTTCTTCCATGAATTGTCCCTTTGGAATCATATCTAAAAAGTCATCATTAAACCCAAGGTCATCTAGGTTTTCTCCTATGTTATCTTCCAGAGGTTTTATAGTTTGCATTTTACATTTAGGATTGTGATCTACTTTGAGTTAATTTTTGTGACTCTTGGGGTTTTTAGCTCTCAGATTGTCTGCACTGAGCCTCCAGTAATTCGTTAGGTTTTCCTGCTGGTTCCTGTGGAGGTTTCTGCTTGTGGTTTCTTCTCCTGTAAGTTGCGATTCTCTACATCTGCCTGTCTGTCTCTCCAGTTTTTGGGTAGCAGTTTGCCCTGTGACTTCACTTTTCTGAAAGATCTAAGAAGAGTTGTGATTTCTGAGCTCCTTACATGTGGGACCAGAGACTAGAAGTCTGAAGGTTAATTTTGATTCACTTTTATAAAAAAAATATTAAATAAATAAAACAGTCCCTCCAATAATCCTTAAGCGCATGTGTGCATGTGTGTGCGCACGCACACAGACACACACACACACACACACACACACACACACACACACACAGAATTTGGTATGGGGAGGCAGGAGTTCTAAAGGTTACACAGTAGCAATTGTGTAGCACAGCCCCCAGAAGATGGAAGAACATTGGCATGAATCATCTTATCTGTGAGTGTCTTTGGCTATCTTGGGTTTTGGCAACAGTGTGTAGTTGATTTTTATTTTTAACTGCATTTAAGAAATCTGAGGCATAAATCTAAAATTCTCCAAGATATGCAGATAGATTTAAAAATGAGAGCAACAAAGAGGTGCCAACCAACCAACAAGTCACTACTAAGGACCTGTTCCTCAACAGTCTCGGATACATGTTTGGGAGCTCAGTTCCACACATTGCTCAGACTGGACAGGCCCAGCGCACCTGCCTCCCCCGACGCGTGGTGGCTGTGAGGGGGAGGAGTATGATGATTTACTCTTTGGTGGGAGATCCTGTATGCTGAGGACAAGTTCATTCCCTCCCCTGCAGGTTTTTCCTCTACCCTAGAGATCTACCCCTGGCAGTCTGTGGGGCCAGGCCCAGGCTGCCCTTGTGTTTTCCTTGGTCCCCACCAGCTGGCCCAAGCAGTCCTCTGCCAGGGTCTGCACTTGCACATGGCAGCCGCCAGCTGGAGCAGAGGAGCAGGGACTCATTTTACCAGGGTGTTAGCTCTGCAGCTCACCACATTCCCACCGCACTACTGTTCCTGTGTTAGCTGCCATCGTGGTCTTAATTTGGCCCACTTCAGTCTGTCTCCAGACACAATGCCAGGGACTCAGGCTAGATTAAAACCCCAGTTGTCTGTCGGCAGTGCAGTTCTGTAGATTGAGAGGAAGGCCTTGTCTGTCAGTCTCCCTTGGTCCGATCCTAAGTCCACTGTACTTTCCTGGCTCTCTCAATCCTCCTCTTCCTCCTCCCCTCCTCCCCTTCCTCCCATGCCTCCTCTCCCCTTTCCATCCTCCTCCTTCCCCTCACCTTACTCCTTCCCATCCCTTCTCCCTTTCCTCCCTCTCCCATTATGTCCTTCTGCTTCTTTGGTCTGTCTTAGCCCCACCCTTTTACTTCCTGCCTGTTTACTCCACTTAAACCTTCTCACTCTTTCACACTTGGCATTTTGCTTTCTACCAACTTCCTCATGGTCTTGAGGTGGTGATTTGCCTCCATAGATTTTAGCTTCACCCTCAGTCCAACTTATCTAGTACCGACTTTTGGGGTCAGTTGAGCTCTTGAGTCAATCTTTTTCTTTTCTTTTTTTTTTTGGAGACAGAGTCCCGCTTTGTTGCCCAGGCTAGAGTGAGTGCCATGGTGTCAGCCTAACTCATAGCAACCTCAACCTCCTGGGCTCAAGCTATCCTCCTGCCTCAGCCTCCCAAGTAGCTGGGACTACAGGCATGTGCCACCATGCCCGGCTAATTTTTTCTATATATATTAGTTGGCCAATTAATTTCTTTCTATTTATAGTAGGGACGGGGTCTCGCTCTTACTCAGGCTGGTTTCCAACTCCTGACCTCGAGCAATCCGCCCGCCTCGGCCTCCCAGAGAGCTAGGATTACAGGCATGAGCCACTGCACCTAGCCCCTCTTGGAGATTTTTTCAAAGTCACAACTATTGACCTACCCCGTTCTTTCAGTGGCTGCATAATATTCTATAGTTTGTTTATGGCATAGTTTATTATTTAAATATCCCCTATTAATAAATATTTCAGTGCTATTTTCACCATAGTGAACATGTGAATATTTCTGTACATGTATCATCTTGGAGCTCATCTGTGAATGTTTTGGAGAGAGACCACTAGCTTCAGTTTCTCCTATGCCACCACTAAGCAGCACTTAGAATTAAATTGTGAATGAAAGCAAAATATATACTCACACTATTTGGAATGATTCCATGTAAGTTAAAAAGCATCCTATTAATATGTGTGTATACGTACATTCGTTTATTTGTAAGAGATGGCATATCACTGGAAGCATAGGCTCTAGAGTAAGACCATCAGAGTTTCTGTTCCACTCAACTGTTCTCTTGCATTGTGACATTAGGTAAATTATTTAACCTTTGAGTCTCAGTTTCCTGTGAAAGGTGATAACCTTAATAATGTACTGGCTCATAATGTTGCAGGAGTTAGATGAATTAAAACTCACACAAGGGCCGGGCGCGGTGGCTCACGCCTGTAATCCTAGCACTCTGGGAGGCTGAGGCGGGCGGATTGCTGGAGGTCAGGAGTTTGAAACCAGCCTGAGCAAGAGCGAGACCCCGTCTCTACTATAAATAGAAAGAAATTAATTGGACAACTAATATATATAGAAAAAATTAGCTGGGCATGGTGGCGCATTGCCTGTAGTCCCAGGTACTCGGGAGGCTGAGGCAGAAGGATCGCTTGAGCCCAGGAGTTTGAGGTTGCTGTGAGCTAGGCTGATGCCAATAGCACTCACTCTAGCCTAGGCAACAAAGCGAGACTCTATCTCAAAAAAAAAAAAAAAAAAAAAAAAAAAGAATTACTATAAAGCTACAGTAATCAAGACAATAGAGACAATGGCTTAAGTACAGACATACAGATCACTGGAACTTCAAAGTC